GGGGGGGGAGGGGGGGTTGGTGTTTTTCACAATAAAAGTTACCTGCTTTTGTTTTAGTTGAGTGTGGATCTTTGAGTTCAAAACAAATACCGGTATTTCAAAGTTTAACTCTGATCATTTTCAAGTATAAAAGCATCCAAAAATATTGAAACATTTATCACAAACATCTTCACTAACAATGTTGTATACTGAAATATTTCATCTACATGACAAATACTGGCCACCCTATCACAATATGCCCAAGGCCCAGGAAGTTGTCCCACTAACAAAGCAATCCTCAATGTCCGGATCGGATGTGGGAACAACTTTACATGACACAGCTATGACCAAACCATACAAACAAAACATGCTTAACTCACCGAGTAGCTGACGGCAGCGTGGTGCAGTTGAGCAGCCTGTCTTTGAAGTGTTTGTCTCAAGTAACTTTCATCTTTTAGCGCATGCATGCTGTTGAGTAGGAGGCATTGTTTTAGTTTCATTAATGGAAGACGGAAAAAGGTAAAAAAAGCATAATATATAATATAAATGGGGGAAAATTACAAAAGATATCAACAAGATTATCTTTTCGTGAAATCAAATAGTATAGTATCAAAATCCTTTGAAAACAGGCCCATAAAACATACAGGACCTGTGCACCTAAACAACAGTATTTACACCTTTTGTAAGGAAAAGTTAAGGTAGTATTTGCTAGGGTCTGCGTTTAGCTAAAAGGAATTGATAATAATATCAATAATAATAACAATCACATTAAAAGCAATCACATTATTAATAAATTGCATTTACATTGCTCATTTTCAGCTCAACAAGGTCCTCAAAGTGCATCACAATAAAAAAAAAAGTCAAGGCATGGCCAACACATGCACAATCAAGAAAGAATAAAAGTCTCTACTAAAAATTACACCTTACCCCATTACAGCATTCTGTACAGCGCCTAGCTATAATTGAGCATCTACAGCTCAAAGCATCTTTATAAAAAAAAAGGAGTCAAAATCAATTAACTCCACAAAAAGGAAGAAGAGGGAGTTGGAGGCAATTTTTTAAGGTACATCCTTTCTTGGGACGAGATATGAACAGTCTTACATTTCAGTAATATGATAACATCCTTCTTCTCCTCTGTCCCCCACCCCCACTCATACTTTGGCATGACACAGTAAGAGTTTAAAGCATCCAGTTTGTCTTTTAACTGGTTGAGCCCCATAGCATTTGCAGAAAGGAGAAGAGTTGACACAGAATTGCGACAACAAACAAAATCCGTAGTAAGTGATCAAATGTCAGTTGAGATTGACTTTTGTGTCGAGTGAACATTTTTAAAGCGAGAACTCCTATTTGAAGACAGACTGGATAAAATTGTAGAAGCACCAACCTTTACATTACAGAGGTATTTTGCAGATTATTTCACATGGGTAATGCATCATCCGTAAAAACTGCAAGAGACACCGTCTTATATATCGCAATGGAGCTGACAGAAAGTCTATAAAAATAATTACCTTTGTTGAAGAATGGCAAACTTTTTCTCCCAAGTTCTGTGTGCCTTTTCTACCTCTGCTTGTAGCCTGAAATGAAATAGCCCAGTGCTTTCAAACCAAAATGACAATCTACTATTTTATGAAATACAGACTAATCACTCTCTCGTCATGCCAACTAACATACTAAATTTGAAATTTCACTTAAAGTATAATTCTTAGTCATTCTAAACATTAACATTTTTCCTAGATGGAACAGAAAATTTCAATACATTTTTCTGACCTAGGCTGAGTATTTGATTATGAATAACATTTCTATTTATCATTTACTCAAACTTATTTTGAAATTAAAGTTACTTTTTCACAGAACTGTTGCTTATGACATCTTTAGATGAAATTAACATAACTGGCGGCATAAGGTCCTTACCTAAGGATTTCAGTTTTCAGTTTGTCTTCTGACTCTTTCAACGTTTTTGAGCTAATAGAGTCCTGTGTAGCAGAGCTTGACTTTTCTTTCTCCTGAAAAAACACCAAAAAAACAGTAACATATAAATATACACAGGCACAGGCACGAACATTCAAAACTCAAAATCACAGACAGCCTGTACAATATGCCATTCCCCTACTGAACCGCTATGTTTTCTTTCTGTTGGCAACACTTTTCTCAAAGAGTTCCCAAAGCTCCTCTTTAAAAAAAAACAATCAAGTTTTTCATACAACTGTCTTGAATTCAAATCACACTGCTCACACAAGGGAAAATAACACACCTATCGTCACTGAGAGCAAGGTTACATGAGCGCACTGCACTCACCCTCGTACAGGGTGATACGCACACTGCTGACTGCTGGTATTGGGACACATCTTTGCCTGTAGTGTACATAAAGCACTAGGATTTTCTTGAATATAGTCATGTGAATGTGAGGGTGGATGCTGGGTGGTGGGGTGAGATCGGAGATAGACAGTGTGGTGATGCGTTGAGCTGTATGTGTGTGCATTATGTTTGTGTGTGTGTGTGTGTGTGTGTGTGTGTGTGTGTGTGAGTGTGTGGTTATTGAAGATATGAATCGGGAAGTGATCATATAGATTACACAAGAGGGGTGAGAAGAACAACGTCATGGTTTCGACCTGACAAAAAAGCAATTTTATTTTTGTCATTAAGGCTCATCAGCAATACTTTCTTGCTTTGACATCAAACAAAGAACACGCATGACCCATCCTTCTATTGTTTTATCAAAAACGGGTACTTTTCATGATGGAAGAGAAGAGAAAATGAAATTGTCTGACAATAGAAACCAAGCATCACATTGTAGCAGCGGTTGTCAAGAAGTCCTGTACTAAGACAGAAATTTGTCAAAGATTAGATATCCCAAATCAACACTTTCCATGTTTCTAAAGTCGAGAAAAACCCAAAAACACCGCATTGGATGTCAACCCGACAGAAAATGAGCGGGCTTTTCCAAATTTGAAAAATCAGCAAGCACATGCAATGCCTCTTCCTATCTCTGATGCAATTCATAACACTACATCGAAAAGATCCCAAGCATTGCAGGAAAAAAAAACCAATAATAAAGAAAACCATGATCATAGCGTTAGAAAACAACAGCAAAAAAAGCTCGCTAACTAAAACGACAGAGTGAGATACTTACCTTTGCCAGCTTTTTCTCCAAGTCAGCAAGCTGAGATTTCATTTGTTTCATCTTAGACTGTTCAGCAGTGGAGGCCTTCTGTGCTTCTTCCTTAGCTTTCTCCACAGCCTGGCATTATAGCAAGACACAACAGTTTCATATGAACAATTCATTCATTAAAGAAAAAAAAAGAAGAAGACGTAAAAAACCTGACATAAAACCGAGTTTTTCTGCCTGTTCTTCTTGTTTTTGCTTACTTTGACTCTCCCAATCTTATGATCTGAATAAAAAGTATAGCACACCTAGAAAGTACTTCAGCCTGCATTCAAAATGTTCCCTCCAAAGCTATTTGATTGATAAAACGATCAGGAAATAAAGAAGGCCTCCGACTTCACGAAATATTTGTCTATAAAGGGTGTAAAATGGAGTACCGGTACTAATTAATTTCTGCAACAACCCTGCACTCCTCCATAGCACATTGTCTACTACAAGAGGAAAAAAGGTTAAAAAAAAAAAAACAAGAAAAGACAAAAGCTTAATTGTATCTTAAGAAATGGAAAAGGTCAATACGACATAGTTGGGAGCAGAAATGTTCAAATTTGTAAACGCCAAACAGCCCCCTTAACTTCACTCGCATCTCTCCACATCTCTGTGACTATAGCATGGTAAAAATGGTTGTTTTTGTTGAGGTCACATGGGTGCCTTGTAATCTCAAAGTATTCATTATAGGTGTATGTCGGTTCATAGGATAACCTCATCAGAGCAAAGCTTTCATAATAAAGTGGGTGTGCCAAATAGCTCAGTCGTTATCATCATGTTCAACTACTGTACACATGTGTGTGATCCAAAGTTCTTATCCAAGAAAGTTACTTAAATTCATAATTATGAAATATTGGCAGTTGCAATTTAATACATCATGATGCAAGCATGCAAGGCAGAGTGCTCAAGCTATAGAAGATAAAAAAGTATACACTCATCAGAAAATGGAGCTGAAAGAAGAATTCAGAGTAATCCTATTATTCATGCAACATGCTTGATTCTATTGTTATTATTTGGTATGGTGTGCATTTTAAAAATAAATTGTTATTCATATGAAACAGCATTTATCTTACAATAAAAACAAAGAATTCGCTTTGTTGTGTAAGAACAAAACCGTGCCATTTTCTTACAAAAGTATAAAGAAGAATGATGAACCAAGATAAAAACATTTTTGTCCACATTTGACGCTATTCAACAGAGTTCACTCTGGAGTTGGTATAGAAACCAGATGACAAATTACACGAGTACCTCCTCTTTTGCAAGGCGCAGCTGCTCATCCATCATTCTTTTCATCTCCTCTTTCTGGTGGCCAAGCTAAAGTGAAAAAAATCTTCAAATGTTTTTGAAGTGCAAAATTAAATAGCTGAAAAGAACTATGCATTTATAACGTGTTCAAAAGGAATAGGCAAAATAAACTAACTACAAAAACATTTTAAAAACTTCATATTTACCTCACCACAGAGACCTGAACACAAAGTCATGAATACTAAGCCTCATACAAAGGGTTAACTGAAATAATGGCATGCAGCAATGTTTGTTCCATTACTTAAAAAAAGAACTGTCAATTTGGAATCATAAGAAAACTGAGTAAAATATTATAGACTGCTGGCTACTGTTAAGTCCATATCGAATGTGACTTTTTAAAAAAATAATCTTTGTGTTACTGTGAGCAAAACTTTGAAATCTGACCGTTTTAAGGGCACAAATTAAAAGCATAGTCTCTGATGATCATGCAAAGGGTTACCTTCTATAAATTTAGTAGGGCAATTTCACTTGACCTGACGATATTTGGTAGATTTTGTGTACACTGGTATATTTATGTTTGCCAATACATTACCCTCTAACTTTTTTGAGAAACCAAAAGCCCTGTATTTTAGGGATCATGTCCGACAAAAAAATCTTCAGAATGTGGATCTGAAAGAATACTAATAGCTCATAACAGGTTCTTGCTGGGCTAAAATATGTTCTGTATAAACAAACATAAAATTAAATACTTTTATTGCTTTGTTTTGTATCGGGTACTGTATACCTAATGGCAATTTTAAAAATTTATAATTCTGGAAATTTATGTTGTAGCTGTGTATTCAGGTAAAATAGGGAAGTGTCCATTTTTGTTTTTAACTACTCAAACTCCCATTTTCTACTTAACAAAAGAAAGGAAGATGACATTGTTCTTCTAAAGAAGTCTCTGGATTATGCCATTATGTAAGATGAGAAAGTTCATGGGTAAATTCTATTTTGAAGCACAGACTGTAAAAAAATCTTCTTAACAAGCCGTCACTATCAACAAAGCTTCTTTTGACTGCACATTAATAATCCAAATAAGTCTGACAGCTTTGCTCCGATTTACTTAAATAATATCCAGTATGTGACTGACAAAGACCCCAATAAAACTGTGAACTGCAGATAAAGCTTCAAAAGAAAAGGAAGACAGAACCATCATAAATCATACCATCAGCTTTCCTAAAGGGCTTGAAAATACAGTGAAATGAGATAAATCTTTTAACAAAACAATAGCCTTATGTTCATGAAAATGAAGGCTTGAGGTCATTAAAACCAACTCCACTCAAATAGAAGGAAAAAAGTCCTTCACACACACAAAAAAACTTATTTTTTAAAAAAACATGCAACGTCTTTGAAATCACAAGTCTAAAGGAAAAAAAAAAATTTGAGGTAAAACAGATTGCAAGCACAAGATAGAGGAATGCAGAGTAAACAATAACTGAAAGTCATGGTGGACCAAAGAAACCACCAAAATAAACATGTTAAACAGTTAGATATATAGTCACACAATTATCATATGCAGCAAACAATTCTGTGATTATATATGTTTTTCAAAAACTTAAAAGAAAAGGCACACGAAAGAAAGAACAGCATAGGAGACAAAATGGCATGAAAGCAAAGCACAAGATGGTTCTTTCATACAAAGGCCTATCATTAAAGAAGAAATTCAATTTATTTGTATTTTTTGTGCAAGAGAGAAAGAGAGAGAGTATATGTGTGTGTGTGTGTGTGTGTGTGTGTGTGTGTGTGTGTGTGTATGCGTGAAAAGTTAGTGTATCTGTGATAATATGCGTGTGATTGTTAGATAGCGCATAAGATGCCATGAGGGCTCAAACTTGTCTTGACAACAGATAAAAAATATCTGCAAACATTTTTTGTTAAAAATATGAAGGAATAACTGCCATCGTAAATCCCTGGGTTATGTTCTGTACTACAGCTGCACATTTTAAGCAGCCTGACACCTTGCCTATACAATGATGTGGGAAAGAATCTAAGAGGAAAAGTAAAACCAGGCGTACATAATTAAAAAGATTCCTGTTCTGCAGTTTCTCTTTATATTATCAGCTTCAATTGTACAATCTTTACAGTAATCATTTGTTGCCCTGCAAAATACGTAATTTTTTTAAGATGCAGAGATGTATAAATGATTAAGACGAAGAGATAATCACATCAACAAAAAGGAAGGAAGGAATGCAGAAAGACTTTTTGCCTCTTATGAGTTGGGTGGCATTTAGCATTGCTGTTATATTCTTGTTGTAATAGCAACTGCTCCCCCCCCCCCCCCCGACTCTCATTTTACCCCAACCTTTCAAACAGAAAGAAGAAACAAGAGTAATACCCACCCACCCCAAAAAATCAAACTGTTAAAAAAAATATTAAAAAGAACAAAAAGAAAAAAAGAAAGAAATACATGAATAAACAAAAGTATTTCTTTAACCCCTTCTATCTTCCAAGAGGAAAAGAAATATAAAAACAAAAACAGAAATAAAGAAATACAAATATAATAGATACAAATGTGAAATCAGTTTCTCTACATTTTGAGTAGAAAACCCAAATACATATCTGAGAAATTAAGAAGACCCATCTCATAAAAATGCCAATGAAATGAAGTGTACACAAAACTTTAGCAAGCTTAGCCCATAAAAATTAAAGCACTGTATAGGCCTACTCTTTCAACCCCAAATAACTACAAATGCAATCCCATGGAAAACTCTCAAGAGACCAGACACTTTGGGACACAAAAAGGCTAAACCCTCATCATGCTATATATTTCTTTAGCCTCCTCCAAACAATGAATTTTGTACACTGCGAGAGAAGGCACGAACAATATTATCTAGCAAGAAGAAGGTAAAAAATACTAATACATCTATACATGCATGTCAAAGACTGTAAGAAAGAGTACATTTTCACTCATTAATATCATGGCATCACTGGTGAATGACATGTCATCAAACAGTGAATAAGTAAGCACATGACAAGCATTTCATTTCTATTAAAGAGTTTACCAAATCATCAGCCTGAAAGCAAATAAAACAAGTTAAGTGTCAAGTGCCAAATTCAGTAATATATGTACATTCACTCTGAAAATAAGTCACTTAACGACGGAAAGTCATTTTGAAATGGCGATATGTATCTCTTACTTAACACTGTGCATCCAGTTCTAAATACCACTAGTACTGTGTCGCTGAGTAACAGACCGGATGTAAAAAGAAAAGAAAATCCTCTGTTGCTGAGAATGTGGACTATGTTTCACTGCAGACAATTTAAGTCTCTGTTTTTCTTAAAGTTGCAATTGTTGCAACATACGATATTCCGACAAATAACCATCACTTATCATTGGAATTATAAGACTCTAACTAACAGTAAAAATGAAATGTAACAAAGAAGCAGCAGGAGTGGCAGCTGCAATGCAAAGCCCTTTACAGGCAAATTTTGAGTCTTATAAATAAAACAAACAGGCGTTCAAAGAAAAGAAGGTATCATCCACAAAAACAAGAGAGATCTTAAGACAACGTATATAATTATATTTCTGAAATAAAAAATCAAGGTCATCTTGAGAAATAAGAAACGATCAGTATTTTTGAATGACTCTGCTTGCTGAGCAACTAAGAGTGTCATGGATATTAAGATAGCTGAACTTAATATCATGGCAATATGACTTCATTTTCACATTTGTCATGCATATCAAATTTGTAAAGCACTTTAAAAGGCACGGAGGCTACCTATTTAATACAATCAACTAAAAAGAATTCTATGTATTTGTAGTAACCTTCATGGCCTAGAGTGGTTAAAGAGGTTAGAAATGACAAGATGCATGAAAATAAATGTTGTAAATAACACAAAGCTGGAATGATTCCAGCTGTAAAAGAAATGACTTTCTCAAAGAATAAAATCAGCCTTGCTACAATCTCATTAAAGAATCTGAGAAGACTTTATCTTCACTTAATTTGTAAAATAATATTTCTTTCCTCCACAAAGGCTGTTAGTGACAAAAAAACATAGCTACAATCATACATTTTGACAATCTCTCTGTCCTCTACCACAGTCCCACACTCAAATGGTACCATGGAAAAGATATGATGCATATGAGCCTGCTTTGAATCTTTGATGAGACATTTTTGACTCAATATTATCTGAGCACAATGAATAGCTGTCTCCACTGTACTGTTAGAGATCGACATAAAATCAAGGTCTTGCCATTTGAGTTTGTTCTAACAGAGTTTTACGGCACTTGCAACACAAAAAAGTCATATAAGTGCCGAAGATTAGAGGTGTTACAAGAGAGTAACAAACATAAAAAAGAAGGAGGAAAGATAAGGACGACAGACTTTTTATAGGAAAGAAGGAGCAAACTACTCCAGAGCACCCATCAATCACCCACTTGGTATTGGAAACATGGCATTATATTGTAAGTGGCAGTAAAACTGCACTATACCATATCATCCTAAACAATGCCTGAAGAAACTAAAACATGTATAGAGCCATACACACCATTTTCTTGGTCGTCTCTTTCTCCTGTGCAGCTGCCTCCATGAGCTCATTGTGTTCATGCTTTAGCTGTAGTCAAAATAATTTTATTACAAACACATTCACATTACGCTTAGGAAATTTGTCCACACAACCATTTTGAAACAAAAGAGCAACTTTGTATACATTTCCAGCTACTTTCAATGTGCTGTTACACCTAAAAAACCATCAGGGGTCAGATTTAAACAAGAACAAAAACGTCTGACAGAGAGTTAACGCAGCCAATGTGTGGCTTAAAAGGTAAAAATCATTTTAAAAGTGGAATAGGGGTTTCTAGTACAGTGCATTCGACATGTGCAAGGAATAAGAATCATAACCTGGTTCATAAGGTACTAAAGTAGTAATTAAACCTATAGTGGTGAGAAACGCAGGTATTGTGTGCACACTTCTAATGAAAAAACTATCATGCATAAAAAAAAAGTGTAACATATATGTCTTTATGCAAAGTTAACAAGTACTAAAGTTGTAAGACATGAAACCATTAAAGTGGACTTTCCCTCCATGTACTAACATTTGCATTCATTTGGGATAATAGACGGACTTTGGTAATGTGTAAAATTCTCACCTGCTCCACCATGATTTCACTTCTCTCCTGTTGCTCTTTCATAGCATCCATTTCTTTATCTGCAAACAAAAATGCACATCATTTATATATATGTCAAAGTTCATGTCGAAAATTTGATGACTTATTTTAAGCTTTGCGTCCCATATCGCAGTGACATTATATCATCTAATGACGGAAATCAGAAACAAAATTGAAGACACTTAAAATTGAAAGTGCATTAAAGCTAAATGTTCCTACTCCAAAGGGCATTAGCATGATTGTATGCCCTCTCTCTTGGCATACTGCAATTTTTATACGTATGATTTTGTGTACACTGGTTAATCTACCACATACATACACACTAGTGCTGTGCGATTTTGAGGAAACAAAAATTCATCCAAGCATCGAAGCATGAGCTCAAAATTCATGCTATTCGAATAACTCTGTTGAATGTTTTTTTTCTTGTATACGATAGGTCCAGACCTAACTTCCGCTATTCAACATTCACTTAACTATTCACAGCCCCGTCGAATGGTATTTTCTTATACACAATAAACCCAGCTCTAACTTCCGCTTTTTGAAGTACCATCAAATGTTTTTTTCTTATATATACGCTACGCCCAGATCTAACTTCCGCTATTCGAAGCGCCATCAAATTGTTTTTTCCTATACACGATAAGTCCAGCCCTAACTTCTGCTATTCAAAGCGCCGTCGAATTGTTTTTCTTCTACATGATAAGTCCATCACTGTCACAGCACCAGTCACTGAGCGCGCGTGTGTTGTTGTCACAGACAGTGCGGTGTGATGACATGACGTCACCGTTCATAACACTTCTAATTTCAAATAGCCTAGGGGAAGGGGAGCTTATTGCGACAGCTAACTTCAAGAGAAAAAAAAACATTCACTGCGCTTCAAGTAAGAGTCAACTGCCCTTGCTTGAGCTATACATGGTGTGACGAGTGAATATAAGGGATATTCTCTAGAGGAATATTTTATATCTCTTTTTGGCTCCTCCTATCACTCTGTCTCGTAACCATCAAATAAACGGTATTTCTGAAGGCTATATTTATCTAAATTATTTTAAATATACTATGCTCTAATTTTACTAAGTTTAAGAAAAATGAGATGAAAATCCGTTATCTGTTTTAAAAAAAAAAATCACACGGCATTCAAATTGCTCTGCCACACTTCATATAGCTGTGAATAGTGCAAAAATCATGAATGTCGAATAGCAAAGTCGAATGGGCACAGCTCTAATACACACTTCTTTCTATCACTCAAAAATACTTTACAATTCAAGGTGGCAGTTCAACTTTTTTTTTTTACTTCAAAAGTTAAAAAAAGATCTCAAAGCATTCTTACGAAGAGTCAAGATTTCTTCATCCTTGATATCCAAAGCCTCTTCCAGTCGAGAAATCTTTTTGTCTGACTTTTCTAGTTTCTGAGTCGCTTCTTCAAGCTCCTCTTGTGCTGTATTCAACTGGTCTTGAAGGGCAGAGTCAACACGAGGCTGAAAATTTACAAACATTTTGATGTTGAAGAAACTGAAATGAAATCAGCACTAGAACAATGACAAGTGAGGGGACCCATACTTTTCTCTGCAATTCCAAACATGGCTATTCACTGATGAAATCAAACAAAATTTACAAAAAAGAACAAAATCTGAGAGTAAGTCAGACACTACAAAATGAAAAGTCTAACAGGGGTGGTTTACAAATAATATGGTCAGAATCCTTACATTACTTTCATCTTTCAAAATTTTGAAAGGGAAAAAAGTTTCAAAAGTCACAACACTGAATTTAAACAGGTTCCAATAAAAATGCCAGTGAATAGAGAATCTGGGGCAGATAAATAATTTTAAGAAAGTATGTCAGAAGAAATCTTTTGACTGATTATTGGGATAACAATATCAAGGAATAGAAATTCTTGAAATAGCTGATATTGTGTGACAGTAGAAATACTGGTTCATGTGAAGCCAAGTGTAGAAAAAAACAAAAACAATATGAAGACATTGAATTTCAAATAAATCACACCATACGATGAAATGATTCAGCAAATTACTTCGTACTTTTGTACTACACCCTCTGTTACAGTTTTTTTATGGTGAGATTTCATCTTGGATATTACCTTTCTAAATTTTTACTCCTTTTCATATTTTCTTATTTCCTTTATTGAGAAAAAGGGAAAGGGAAGGGAGAGATGTAGGCCTTGGCCCGAGTCATGAGCAACTGCTCAAACTCTAGAGAGCAAACATTGCTTAGTAGGAAGGAAACTCTCTACAGAAGCACAAAACCATAACATATTTTAACCCTTTCAGCACTGGGCTATTTTCGTCCCTCACTTCCCTTTGGCCGAGGTAATACGGGAGTCCTTGACCTCTCAGGCCTAGCCAATGGCGACTGTTTGGCGACTGTGTCTGCCATTTTTTGCAGTCAATTTAGGAGATGACATGCAAAATATTTTTTCAGAAGCAATTGGACGGATAATGGTAAAAATACCCATTTGGGTATGAAGCGGCCAGTGCCCTGTAAGGGAAATATATATGTGTCACTATGCAGTGGTATCATGCGCTCGTCAATTTTTGGGCATATGGAGTTATTGATATAATCTGAGAGCTGATTTATTTGCTTTGCTTCCAATGAAATAAATAATCCATTTATCTCGAACAGAACTCTACATATTTTCTTTTGAAGGAAGTGAGGTTGCCTAGTCACAGTGTTGAAATTAGCGAGAAAATGGCCGCCAAAGATTAGTAACTCCAATAGCTAAGGAGTCTTTGAAAACTGAAAAATGACATATTTTGAGCCTTTATTCACTGTTTTTCAGTAATATTCACATGGAAATGTGTTATCATATGGATATATAATAGGTTAAGCCATACAAAAAATTCAATAAAAATGTCCAAATTGGCAGAAAAATGCCTGTTTCTCCGATTTCAGTATTTTGAGGAGCGCCTGATTTCACCACGCTGCCTCACATGTGCAACTGGGCTTGTGGGAACAAAAACTTGCGAGAGAAATACACATGACTGGGCCTGTAACAGTTATTCGAAAATAAGGACATTGTATCCTCCTCTTCGTCTATGGAACATATAACATGATATCAAAAGTATATATTCCGGAACAAACCATATTATGCAGAATTACTTCAAAACTTGATAACTCCTTATCTCCTGAAACAGCCAAAAACAAGTTTCTTTGACTGGGAGTTCTTTCAATGCATGAAGAACTATCAAAATAGGTACATTTGTTTGGATTTAATAACTAATTTGAGTTATGGAAGATACTGTAAAACAAATAATAGAGGATGATTCGACAAATTAAAAATGCATACCATGTAATCTCTTCTTTTTAGTCAGATAACATAAATTTAGTTAGTTGAATGTTAGACAAACAAACAAAAACAAAAAAGTCAGTGGCATACACAAAGACAATTTTGTAGTGACTTCAAAAAGTAATGTTAAAAAACATATTACATACAACAACAACATCAAATATAAAACAAACAAAAAGCGAAAGACAAAAAGTTCCAAAGTTCTCAAACAGCATGTAAAGAAAGCAGATATGCAGCAATGCTCAGACAAAGCTATGTACTCTCAAGCTTTTTGCAGTGATAATCTTTACCAGAAGAGCTGAGGTACTTCTTATGTGGGCAATTCTTTAGAGAAATATAATGGCAAGCAAAAATGGCTTAAATTATGGATTTGAAAAAATTCAATGTGGTAAATGTTTACGGAAATTTTATTTTTATCACCTTAAATTTTCCGTCTGATTTTATTCAAGGCATAAAAACAGACCTTAAAATCTTTTACCATTACCAAATATAAAAGTATGAGCACACAAATTGAGGACAGACACGGCATGATGGGAAGATATAGTGCAAATGTGGGGGCACTCTTTCACTTATAGGCATAAAGCAGTCAAGCAGCAAACAGCAGACAGGAGTCCTCTGTGATAATAGCATCTTCATGTAAGTACTGCAACGTTTTTCTATTTTTTTTGTGATTCACAAGGTGAGGAAATCATGTGTCAATGGGATGGAATGATACTTGAAGGATTCATTTTGTGGCCATAAGTGGAATTCTAAAGGGCAACTTTTAGTTCTGCATAAATAATAGGGGAACAATGTGGGCATTCTATGAAAGAGAGATAAAAAGGTAATACTTTCTTATTCCTGTGGCAAATTTTAGGTGGTTTTACAACTACAAAAGATTGAATAATCTGTCAGAAGATGATAAAAGAACTTCATAGGCCTTACTCTCTCCTGCAAACAATGTATGTTCTGATAAAAATGATGGACAATCCTCCCGCTCATGATTCAGTATTATTCAGGGGGGGGGGGGGGGGATTTTCAAAAGAGTGAGAAAATGTGCAGTAAAGCACAGTGTGGCACCACAGAAGAATAGCACAGGGAGAGTGCGGATGGAATGCTTTGTGGTGTGCATACTACACAGAAGAGATGAGCAGTTTTGTCAAAAGAATCCATACCCATGAGGTAAGGGTACTTTCAAAGGGTATTTTGCATGTTTTTATTAACAACCAAAAATATATTATTGTGGAAAAAAGAAAAAGAAGAACGTTGAGTCAATTTCAACCAATATCCCGAGAAGTAAACATATTGGATTTTATCATGACCATTTTTAGTCTTTTTGTTTAAAATGAAATTTTGTTACATGTTATTATCCATCACAATGTTAAAAATATCCATTTGTTCAATATATTGTTATCTTAAATCTTTAAGAACAAAAATATGTTTTATGACACTTCAAAAAGAAAAACAATGTTTTCCAGTCACTTCATCACCCATTAAAGATTAAGAACTCATATCCAGAGAAACTGCAAGATAGTTTACCACAACGGGAGATCCAGACGCTCTTGAAGATTTGCTTTTATTCGACTGGCAAAAAATAAAAGTAAAATAAATCAGAAAGAATGGTAATATGATTTCTAAACAACAGATTTAATACTGACATTTTGAACAAATGATACCATAATAAGCCGAAGCAAATTTTAAGTAATAGCAAAAAATTGAAAGCAAATTGAACTAAATTGAAATGGAAATGTGTAAAATTTGCTAAATCTATACTTATGCTTGTAAAAATGTAATAAAAATGAAAAAGATATGAGAAAGCAGATTCAAGGAATATTGTCCTCATTCTACAACATACAGAACTCTCATCCATGACAAATCGTCTCTCCATGAACCTCTCATCATCTTCCTCTTGTTGCTTCATTTGCTGCTGCTGCAGTTGAGTTTTGAGCATCTGGATCACACCTTCATTGCGAAGGATTGTAGCTTGCATTTCCTTGAACTTTTCCTCTTTGTCGGCAAGGTCACTCTTCTGTTTTGTTCTCTCCCTAACAATTTTTGTCTGCAGATTTTTCTGAAAAGAAAAAAATTAGTAGGTAAAATAAATAACAAGTGGTCCTAAGTATTCACTTCAAATACTGAACTCACAGTCAATATTTCAAATTAAGTATCTTCTCAGTTTTTCATTCTTATATTACACAGTACTCAGTGAGACACTCCTACTTTCACGCTGTTACTTGTGAGTGGAAAATTGGACAAGCAAGCTAAAAAGACAATGTCAACTCATGGAACTCCTGCATCACATGAACTAGTCAATTGTGCCTTCTGATTTTCATTCTTTAAGAGAAAAAGGTCTTTAACTCGTTATCTCAGGCAAGTCTTCTGCTCAGGCACATTCTTTTACGACTTCAGCATCAAATTACTTTTTGGCAATTTCCAAAAACAGGTCTCTTGTATGAGGTGTTCATTCGTTAGATGAAGAACAACCAAAATAGTTCACTTGTTCTGATTTAATAACCCATCTACTGATGTTTTTGCCATTTTTAGGTTTAGTACCAAAACAGGGCCCTGGCGTTATGGGTTTACCCCCCTTGGAGATAAAGAGTTAAGAGTAACTAGAGCAACATAGTGAAGCATACGCCAGCGATAAAAAGGGAAATTTTGGTGGTTTAGAGTACAGCAGATCAAACATATCTGCTTCTCTATTGATAAGAAAGCAGTGGATTAAAAAGCAACACTAAACCACACACAGCATGGCTACAGTGAAATCTGAGTTGAACTCAAGAAGCCCTGTCAATTATGTTCTCCAGTTAGAGCTGTGGAGTCAGAGGGATTTCCCCCGTTCCCCTGCAGTCACCCACACACACACAGATTCCACGAAGTTTGATATATATGTGTGTCTGGAGAAATGTCCCAGTTGTCAGCAAAACTATTTTTAATTAATAAAAGGAGTGAAAAGGCCAAAGGAGTGGTACCTGGTAAAAAATTAAGCTTTATCAAAAAACACACATTTAGCCATTTCTTACCAACATATTGAAAAGACTTTATGATATCTTAAGTGTATATTTTTTGCAACGCGTTGTACTTCACCATAGGTTAAGTCACTCAACCCCGTGACCGAGATATCTCGGTCAGCTCGTGGGCTGTGTTCAATCCAACAATCGAGATAACTTGGTTCTATAATTTTCTTCCCTATACTAGTGGGAACGGGTATTTGACTAAAACAAAGAAAAACAATAACAGTATATGTGTTTGAGCATTTGGAAAATGGTAGTTGGAAAAAATGCTCCACAGGAAACAGAGAATGTTTTGGAATATTATAGCATCTGTCTTGATAATTAAAAAAACAACATAATATGCATTTAGCCTACTTTATAGATAAAGCAATCTATTATCTATAATATCATCCCATTAAAATCCTAATAAAACTTTTTGTCCCCAAAGCAAATACTCCAGTTACAGAAAGTAGCACTTGCACTCAGTGTATAAATCACTGAAAACCAGGTCTCAAGTCTCTGTATTTTTTTTATGAAGGTATTTTTACACCCACATTGAAACAATTTAAATCATTTAAGAGGCAGGATTCCAACCCTGCCAGTCAGGGCCAACCCGGGCTGGTAGGGGTACATCCCGGCAGAAAGACAGAGACAGTGATAAAAATGTTTTCCCCATGCGGGAATCAAACTCAGATATCCCATGTTCTGTGTTCAGATTCATGATGGCTGTCCCAGCCTAAACCAGCATCTCCGAGTCAGGGTTTACTTACACTGAAGTGGACAGACAGTCTTGCTATGGCATCTGCAAGTTGTTGTCGAAAAGCTTTCCGCAAAGAATTTACCCTCTGTAGGGAAAAAAGGTTGATTTCATTAATGCAGAAGAAAAGAAATAAAGAAGGCATGTGCATTGTCCTTTGTTCTCTTTGTTTTATAGTAAACTGTAAGCCATTACCTTAACTACTGAAAATGTATACTGGCAACAATTATAGTGTATATAGGTCTATTTGAAGTTTAATTATTTTCAGGTTTTAAAAAAAGCAAGAAAACTTGTCCAGACCAGAAAGGTATTTTCTCAAATTCAGAAATAGTATTTCTAACTACAAAATTAAAGCTTTCATAATATTAATCATATAATAAGGCAATATACTCAATCATATACTGTGTAATACTTACATCCTGATGCATTTTTTCCAACTCCACAACTCTTTCATTGATCCGACAGTATCTAAATTTGACCCAAAAAAATTGTAAAAGTCAATCAAGTGTTACAACTTTTTTCCCCATATTGTCACAGTACTATAGACTATGTTGATAGTGCATTGTACTTTTGTTTTTGAAAAAGAGTAACTTGAAAAAAAAATTATTTCTTCCATGCCATATTAATTGAATATAAGCATCTTAGGTTGGAACTTTCTAAATTAAAACATTTTCACGGCAGCAGAGATCAGTACACTAATTAAATTAAAACAATTAAACAAGTCAAAGAAAAATTTAACAAGTTGCAAAGGATGGCGTTTCATGTGAAAACTATAATGTTAATTAATTAAATCTTAACTCACAATTAACAGTTGGCCATTTATCTATGACACACAAAGAAAAACATCCAACACACTGCAGCAAAGAGAGAATTTAAAAAAAAAAAGAGTTGCAGTAATTATACTGTCTTCCCAATCAAAGGATGACATAGCAGAAAATACATTTTCACACATAAGGCCCCACAATGAAGAACTACTTTCATAAATTCATACTTATTCAAAAATTTATATGACTAGAAGAAATAAGAAAGTATGTTCTTACAGTTCAAGGGATTTCTCTTGAAGCTTTGAATCATGATCTGCTTGCATAACATGCTTTGTGAAATTGATGTCTCTTCTAAGGTTTGCCACATCCTGCAAATAAGAAAGCATAGTAAAAATGTCACTGGCAAGTATTTTATTGTAGGATATAATGGGAGTAACACCTTCAGTGTTAATGCCAATGTTCGATAAACAAAAATATATATAATGTATCAAAGTCGAAGATAAATCCTAAGAATTGCTTTCTTTTCCGAAAAATGCAATTATCCACTTTTAAAAACTGGAGTAAGTGATATTTTTTCACAAAACGAGGCATAAGCGATCTGCCTTTCTTAGCATATTGCAGAAAATCTTTTGCCCATCAAACAAGTTATCTATCCCCAAGTGCATGACGGTTTGTGGTGGACAAAAGTTTGTTGGTGTAGTGTAGCTGTTCCATCCCTCACTATTCAAAGTCAAATTATAGGCTTCAATGATTTAGATAACTAAAATGTGCAATATTTTGATAAATCATTTATGTTAACTTTGCTATAAAGCCCATTGAGAATTCATATAAAGGAAATACTGCAAAATACAGTCCACTTATAACGAGTCCCGAAATAACGAGAAGTCTGTTATAAAGACACTACTATAAAACCCCGTTTTTTTTCTCTTCTTTATCTTTGTAAATAAAATACTGCTACAGCGCAATCAGACAAACATGCGAGTCAGCTATAGTGGAATATTGCTGCTGCTGTGCACAGTGCATAGGCCAATTACACATAATGTAAAACCTCGCCAGTTGAAAAACTTGTTGGTGATCTAGCGAAACAAAGAATGGGAGAGCCCATATGTGTCAACAATAAAGGCTGGAACGACTGAGTAGGGAGGTTGTGGCATGCGCAGACAAGCAGAACGTATCACATGATAGGCCAGCCCAGGCCTAGCCTAGATTATCTAAGCCTACCATGCCTCTCACTTCTCCGATGAGGGGATGGAGAGGTCACAGCAATGTGATGGATTGAGCAAATGTGTGACATGCGCAAACAGACGGTAACGCACCCCAGAGTGTGGTGTGGTGGGAGACACCACAGCGGGTGAGTTAGCCTAGAGCCAGAGCCCTTTCTTTCTGATTGCCAACGCCGAGCTGTCAACATTGCTAGCGCTAGAGGAAGAAACCTGATTCGATTTTTGATCAAGTAAGACCAAGAGGTCACGTTGAAACAAAATCAACATCAGGGGAGATAACAAAAAAAACCACCCCCACTAAACTCATAGACAGGACTCCTTTATCATTTCCCTTGAATTCATTACTGGATCCCTTATAGCGAGAATTCTGCTATAACAGACATTTTGCACTGGTCCCCTTCCTCTTGTTATAACAGGATTCCACTGTATAAATGTGTTCCATAATCATGATAATCATTATTTTTATCATCATTATTACAATTATTATTTTAAAAACACAATTACAATCATCATTGCATTCATTGATAAAAAAGATATGTGATACATGTCCAAAGCAATTTACCTGCGAACACTTTTTTGTGTGCAAATCTTTCTTCTTATTCATAAAAGTAAAATTCAATTAATGGCACTTTCTAAACCTTCTTTATTCATAAAATCCCATTAAACTTTCATCTTTTCAAACACAATACCATGTGGCCTACGTTATGAGTACCGTAAGAAGAAAGCAAATGAAAAAGAAATTCACCTGCAGTAGTATCTGCAAAACTTCTGTCATCTCTTTGAGATCAACAATTTCAGTGACTTCTGTCTGAGAGGCACTATCGAGGCTGAAAAAGCCAATCTTGGCATTGTCTGCCAAGGCTGGCCTGTTGAAAAAGAAAACCAGAAAGAGGACAAAAAAGAAAACAAGTTAAATTTGAAACATCTACAAGTTTCACAACCATAAATGTGAGGCAGCGTGGTGAAATCAGGCGCTTGTCAAAATAATGAAAGAGAAGAAACTGGCCTTTTTTTTCGCAGGTTTGGGAGTTTTAATCAAATTTTAGGCGTTCGGCTTAACACCTTTCACGTACATTAAAGAACATATTTCTGTGTGGAGTTTATTGAAAAATGTTGATTAAAGGGGGTGGGGGGGGGGGGGGCCTACACCTGAAAGCTATCTCGCTTATTACTGGACCTAATTTTACCAAATTCCACACATATAACAAGCATAGTAAGGAGTCTTAAAATCCGCAATCAAATTTGAGAAAAAAGTTTCGTTTCCATGGATACGGTGGCCATATTGGATTTTGTTGACATGTCTTACGTAATGAATACCGCACTTATCATTCATGGTAGTTGATTGTTTTTTTGCATGCGTGTTTATAAACATTAGATCTAAAAATTTGTCTGTTGTTTGGTTTTTTTTCCTAAACGAATTAAAAAATTTTTAATGAATTTTTTCCTGAGGTAGCATTCAAGTTATCGAAAAATCTGTGAAAATGCACACTCCAGACACCACCACCAAAAATCTATTCCGTATATAAAAATTTCAACATATAAATTTTTAGTATTACATCTTCTCTTCATTCTGAGAAAATTTCATGAAGATTGGATCAAAAATGGTGGAGTTATTAAAAAAAAGTATAGAGAAAAGCCATGTTTTGAGAAAACGGCTGATAAAGAAAAATATAATACTGACTTTATGAGGAAATGGCGGTGACAAATACGCCCAGTATGGGAAAAAGTACGGTTTTTGGGGGTTCTTATGCTATGAAATAGTTGTAGGAGGGGCTGAGGAAGCTAAAAATGCCTACAACTCAAATTCCATAATTTTTAGCCGAATTTTGATTTTGGGGGTGTAGGCAAAAAAAAAGTAAATGTTCAGTTTCCATGGACTCTCAAGCAGGGGAAATAACTAAACTTTGACGGCCATTCTCTCGTTAATTTTACGTCTGAATCAGGGCGACCCTCACCTCCTTCAATCAACAATATCTCGACTTATATCCAAGATAGACGGGCATTATTATCATTGAAAGCAAGACAAATGAACAAGTTTTCAGATGATACCAATAACTCAATATGCCCAAAAATTGACGAGCGCCCGATCCGACCGTGACATGACACAAAAATATACTTTTTAAGATGAATGTATATGACTCTATCAGTGGTTCTTAAGAACTCATGCTCTTCTTATAAGCATTTTATGTATTCAGTTATTTGGGGACCTACAATGTCTGATATACTCTGATAATACAAAAATGTCCAGTAATAGTTTAAATAGTGACAAAAGCTGTTTAATAGACAGTCACTAGAGGGTTCAATTTTAAACACAACATCTTTCCAAAACACAGATGACAATGTGAACAAAGGCTGTGGATCGTAAAATGGAATTGTAGACTAATATACAATCAACAAAATTGTGTATGACATATACAACCAACAATATACAGTAATATACATTATATTTACATTGTTACAGCAGTGCTGATAACCCCAGAAGGAAAATAAACAGGGCCCCTACAAATTCTCCATTGCTATATATTTTCTGATCCATGTATAACTCAATAAATTGTAAATAGGTCAGCCTAACTTGTTGCGTCTTTATTAGAAGTATACATTTAGATCCAGTTTTCTGGGTTTACTAATCTAAATATAAACAATATAGAGACCAATCAAATCAATAGAAACTCAAGCTAGCTATTACTATTTCGCTTAGATTTATTAAATAAATCAGATCTGACAGTATTTTTATAATGAATCATAATTATCAATCAAAAGCCTATTATCTTCAGACAGTTTGGCCATAGAAATACTTTTACCACTACTACTACTACTGCTACTTCCTTAGTGTAGTGAAAAATTCAGATCAATATTTTTTATAAACACTCATTAGCTGTATTCTAAAAAATTCCTTAACTTTTTATCTCCGGCAATCCGCTCCCAGCGACTCGCGGTCGGAACCACTCTGCCGGTGAGCCGCTGGCAGCGGCTCCGACACATTCCTTTACAAAGACTTTGACATTAATTTAAAATTACTTTTCGGCAATTGCTGAAAACAGGTCTCTTTTATTGGGAGTTCATTCATTAGATTAATTATGACTATCAAAATAGGTCGACTTGTTTTGATTTAATAACGCATTTAGTGACATTTTTGTCATTTTTAGACCTAATACCAAAAAGGGGGCCTATTTCGTAGTGGGTTTACTCCCCACGGAGATAAAGAGTTATTATACTAACTTAAATAATCCACAAGCTTTCTACAAATCTTAAACAGGTTTATAGCTGTGGCAAAAACGTCACATCTCGTCAATCGGCGATGTTATACTAGCCAGTTTCTTCGGATTTTCCCCAAAATGCCTGTGCCTTTGATAGCAAGGGGTTTTACTATATGAGCCTTATGATGGCAAATGGTTAAAAGCAAGTCGTTCATATTTTTCAAATCATGACGCTCTTTATTGAATGCATGTTTTGAGAACCTTTAGTATTTTCATGAAAAAAAAAACAGTGTTCACAATAAAATCAAGTTCTTGTAGTCAAACAAGCTTTGTCACTGGTAAACTGTGACATAGGCCGTATGCGTATGAAAAATGTGTGTGAGAAGCGGGAAGTGCTGTGAACAATCCCATTTTTCTTGTGACTGAGATTTATGGTATTTTATATAAATTGACAAACATACGGTAACTTTTTAATCTAGCCTCAGTTTTTGTGGAAAAATATGATTAACTCTTTCCGGACGTATCGTCGATATATCGGCGTGATCCACACCCCTTGCGGATATATCGCTGATATATCGGCTATGATGAGGTACCTCAGTTTACTTTCATTTTAACATGATCCATTATCTATAAGTACTTTTTATTGTAACTGAAAACTTGGAAAGGGTTTAGGAAACCAAAACATCTAGTTTCACTTTGTCAAAGCGTCCATCTGGCGAAAAACAAGTGAATTAGTTCTTGAGTCAACAAAACGATCTAACCGGACTCAGTGTGAATATCATAACTCAAACAAAAATGGGAATATTGCATTCAAATAAAAAGCTGCACATTCAGAAGTTTACGGAAGCTGCTCTTGGCCTGTATATGATAAGATAGCTATGCTGGTTCGCTTTCACATTTTTAGTGACAGTGTGTGTAATTTTTTCCGTCAAAATATATTTTTCTCACCACCATCGCCATTCCTAACCCTTGCAATGCATACTTATGTTCAAAATTAATCCTCGAATCATAATATGTTGGAATGTATTCCTTATTCAATTTCCTTCAATTTGATATATCATATGTTACATTTTGAGCGATGGTTATGCTTGTATGAAGCTATTTTGTACATCACCTGTGCAGCCGAATCGAGTCACAAGTTAATTACGTTTTGACCCCAAAACAATTAGCCTATGTCCGGAAAGAGTTAAATTAAGACAAATTGATACAAACTGCTGTGCAAAGTATGGATGACATTGATTCACCCGTTAAAGAGATATTTAACGAAAAGTTGCACCACGAATGTTTGGCCGCACTAAAATCTAAAATTTAGCAGGGCCTAGAATCTAGATCTAGTCCAGTAGGTTTAATTAGGCTATAGTTTATAGTATATAAAATAGTTTATAAGTAAGAGTAAGCACACATTTGTGGGCACTCCTGTACAATTGCGCTCCCGCGTTAGTTCTAGCACAAGGAGCTTGCTCTAGCACTAAATCACACAAGGAAAGACTACTGGATATCGATACTGATATAAACATTCGGTATTGATGTTTTATCGGTAGATCTAGCCTACAAAATGAAAAGTGAATTTCACTTGTATTTAACAAGGCAAGGGGGGTTTCAGGGGCCCCCCTGACCACCGGGAGGACTTCCGTAATGAGTGACCACTAGGACCACTATTAAATCTAGATTATACTCAATGGCTTCCAAAATCATGATGGGAGACCGAAAGCCACAGTATAGAATCTGTTCATGACAAAATTACGGTAGTTTGCCCATTTTTAGGCCCAGTTCAGTTTTGAAGGTCTGAGTCTGGGATTAGTAGACTTGAATCAAGGCGCAGCAATTGTTGACCCCACAGATTTTATCTACTTCCGTTGTTAGGGAGCGCTGAGTTGCCAGGTTTTCTTAGGTTTCTAACCAAATTCTCACCGCAATTAATTCTAGCAAAATACATTGTATTATTATTTCGCAACGAGCGACCAATATGAAACTGAGAAGAATAGAGAGTTGTTAGGGTTAGGGTTCAGTTTAGGGATAGGGTTAGAGGTATGGGTAGGGTCTGGGGTAGGGGTTGGGATAGGGGTATAGGTTTCGGGGTTGGGATAGGGGTATAGGTTTCGGGGTTGGGATAGAGGTATGGGTAGGGGTAGGGTCTGGCCCGGGGTAGGGTTTGGGGGATAGGTCTTTCCTTGTGTTTGATGAAGGTCAGGTGTTGGGTTGGGAGGGGGGAGGGGGTAGGGTTAGGTCTTTTCTTTATTGTGTTTTTTTTTAGGGTTAGGGTTTGGTGTAGGGGTAAGGGTAGATCTCCTCTCTTTTTTGTTGTGTTGCTTGAGGGTTAGAAGTGGGGGTGGGAGGGAATAGGCTTAGGGAATAGGCTTAGGGTTAGGGTAAGGCCTCTTCTTTATTCAGTTTGTGAAGGGTTTGGGTTTGGAGTAGGAGTAGGAGTAGGGTTTGTGGAAGAGTTAGGGTTAGGATGGTAGGGGTGGGCTTAGGGTTTGGGGTAGGGGTAAGGGTAGGTCTCTCCTTTATTTTCTTTGTTGAGGATTATTAGGGTTGGGGTAGGAACTTGGGGTTGGGGTAGGAATTAGGGGTTGGGGTTAGTGTTGGGTTAGGGGTATGAGGTCTCTTCTGTATTGTGTTTGTTGAGGGTTAGGTTTTTAGGGTTACGGTTGAGGTAAGGGTGGGGGTAGGGGTAGGGTTAGGGGCTGGGTCAGGGTTCGGGTTAGGACTCTTCTTTATTGTGTTTATTGAGACGGTCGCTCGTTGTGGAGGGAATGTTTTCTTTTCTTATAGTGTAATTGGTGGGGTGGGGTGGGGGAACGGGGGGTTCAGGACGCAGCACTTCTTTTTTTATGAGGGGGGGGGGGGAGAGGGAGGGGGCTTGCCTTCTTGATTAAGGTAAGTTTTGGGGTTAGGTTGTTTTTTTTTCCTTTTCTTCTTCCGTTCAAAACATGTGCGTAGTGAAATCGTTATTAGTATAATTTTTCGCTTCATCCTTTACCATGACACGGGCGTACAAAAAGAATGAAATACAAGTAGACCGGTGCGGAGAAAGCCGCGCTTGTTCACGATGGCAACTCAACAAATGGAAGTCGTTTCTTTTATATATATGAAAATGAGGTAAAATCGACTCAGAAATTTACTCTTTTTTTTCTTTCTTTTTTTCTGTTTTTTTTAAGCAAATCGCATCAGCTTTCCTAATTTTGTGAAGGAACCTCGTCAAAACCCTTCGAGGTAAAAAATAATTGCGTTTTGAGAATTTTGAAAGGCGATACACTCCCACTTAACTGAAGTAGGTATATAATTTAACTTTTTTTTACTCATTGTTACACCAGCTTTTGGCATAGTGGTAATGCTGCTGGACTACTAATCATGTTTGCTTTCCTCACTCACAGATTTGAATCACGGCCACGAGACTTATTTTTCTAATCATGTCATATTACTGTGTATGCTTTCAGATATTAACATGTCACTAATAATACCCATCAGGTGAAGAGACAAAGGAAGGCAAAAAGAACACAAAGTAACACAAACTCAGTTTACTTTCTTTATTGCCCAACCACATACTAAACCCTATCTTTTACGTAGCCCACTCAAAAGTCCCTTCTTTATTGCGTAGGTTGGGGTGGTCACTCGTTACGCAAGTCCTTCCTGACCACCTAACAAAAACATGGGGAGTTTAGTTTCAGGGGGGCATGCCCCCCCCCCCCCCCCCCCCCCGCCCTTAATTTGACCATAATTTGAATTTTCGCAATTAAGTTTGATTGGCTATGTCTCCATAGGCCTATCGGCACGCACATCAAAAAGTAATCGTTAAGAACCAGAAGTAATCGTTGGTGGGGTGAAAGCGAGTATCCCTACCTTAACGGCATAACCGGGACCGCAATTGTACAAGGAGTGCCCATTTGTGACATAGATTAAGACATTTTACAGACCTGAACATGTCATTGTTGGCACTAGAGTCCCCATATATTGCTAATATATGATCCTGAAGGTCTTCTTCGGCTTTGTGATATGCATGTTGGTCATTCGGAGACTCAGATTCACGCCCGTCTTCAGTCCCAAGTGCGGGAGAATCCGCCATGATTGTTGTATGTAGCAACAAGCCGGAAGAGCTAAGCCTTTAAAACTTTAATCTATTTTTAACGGTCAAATCTTAAACTTTGCAGTATTATAAAATATTATAATTCTTTTCATAGCATTTATAAAACTGATTTTCCCAAAGAAAGTTGCACTTTAATATTTTTCAGCATCAGTGTAATTTTAGTCGTGTAAATGTAATTCCCAATTATTATTTCTTCTGCTTCCATCCATATAAAAAACACTTTTGTACTTTCAAGATGGCTGCTACCATTGTATTTACAGTTTGTGTCATCACTGCGAGATCGAATTGAAGATAGATCCAGTAGCCTACAATAACTTATTGTTAAACCCAAAGAGTAAATTAGATAAATAATATCAGTCTTTTCAACAATTTTCTTACCGTGATGGCTGCTGAAGCGAATATTAGTTCTCGAAAAAGTAACAAATCGAGGAGAGAAACAGCGGTGAGTTTCGCCTTCACCTGTGTCACAACACTACACTACTTACTACAGTAGTACTACAGTCTAGATCTACAGTAACGGAGGTGGCCTGTCGACGTACTTTGTTTTACTTTTTACTTTTATTAGTTGTAGATAGATATCTAGATCTAAATAGATCGGTAAGATTGTACTTTACCAGACCACCGGTCGGAACTATTTTCGCAATGGTGTAGCAATGCCAATGAAAATTTAAATTTTCACTTTTGCCCTTTTTTTTTGTACCTAAGAAAGGATTTTCAATTCTAAGAATTATGCTTCTTGAATTTTGAGAATCGGTTCATAAATAAAAAAGTTATGGGGTTGTAAAGGTCGGCAATGACCCACATATATCTAATAGTAATAGGAAAATACTCCTAAAAAGTGGACCACGCAGTAGCAGATTCTGTAAGAAAATCGACGATATCTAGGTAACTAATCGGAGTGTTCGAGAGAAACTTGGCTACCCGATGTGTTTTTGAGTGTAGAAATCATTTCGGCAGTCAGATTTACTACCAATTTCGTAGTTATTTTGTTATAATTACAGGGTTCCCGCGGCCTCCTTGAATTCAAGGAGTCCTTGAAAACTGCTTGAATTTGCATTCAAGGGAAAATATCCTTGAAAACTCATTGAATTTGCATTCAAGGAAAAATCTCCTTGAAAACTCCTTGAATTTTGCCAGATCGGACAGGAACACGTGTACATGGTGACTGCCAGGCCCCTGGAATTACCCGGTCATTTGAAAAAAATCGCAGAGACCGGAATGCAACGGGAATTTGAAGAAATCTGTAAATTGCCCCGTGAAAGACCCGGGAAAATACATAAACGTTCTCGAATATTTGAAAAACCAAATCCGATAACGTCCTTGTGTTCATTTTTGCCGGTTGCGGTTGTGATATAAAATTCATTCGGCCTTTCCCGGCCTGAGAGTACGTTACCCGCGCACAGACGGTTATGGCGGCAACAAGTGGAAGTGTATGTGCGATACCGAAGCTCGATCGGGAAAAATCAAGATCTACTTTCGCTTTCGTTACCACTTAGAAATTTGCCGGTAGGACCTATAGTAGTCTGATAGCGCCACATTTCTAACATGCAGGTTCTGCATTACAAACGCTGTGTCCCTATGAAAATAAATCGTTTGTCCTGTGCTGTCACTTGTGGAAAAAAAAAGAAAGAAAAAGAAAGTTATACAAGCTTCTTGTCGGGCTCGCCATCGTTACCGGTCATTGAACCTGTGCATTTTCGTCACATCGTGAGTATCGCGATGGTTGAGGTCACCAAAGTTCATGCAAAGTCTGAGCGCTGTGAAGTATAGGACTCGGATATGGGGGGATTATTTTTTATTTTTTTTTTTAAAGACGCACGCAGGGGGGGAA